TTTAAAAAGATAATCAGACTAGGTGACTCATGGGGAGAAATAGACCAGAGAGCACTTGACAGGCCAGATAAGACAATGTTTTCCGACTGTAACGTTTAGTGATTCTAAGACAGACGGCATTGAGTTGATCCTCCAAAGAACAAAGTGGGGGGGGGAGTGCGGGGGGAGGGAAATGGGGATTAAATTAAAGGAAAACGGAATGGTACGCTCAGACTAAAGCCTGCCAGATAATTCACATTTCCTTGAATCAAAGCATTTAGCCTTCTTTGAGAAACTGAATCCGACACAGGTGTGGATGAATAACTCCTTATTCTAGGATTGTGTCCAATACTCGGGGCCAGTATAAGAAACGGGGAAAAGGAGAGGTTTCTGTTGCCAGCCCGAGTTATCTCCGACAGAAGCAATCTTCAGTCCTGAGATTAACACTCAGACTGTAGATGATGCAACCAGCCAAGTAATTCCCATTCAAATGGAGACAAATAGGTTTGGGCAAAATTAACTGCAGGTTTTGTGACTTGCTCTGTCAAAAAGCCGGCACAGACTCGATGGGCCGAATGGCCTCCTTCTGTGCCGTAACATTCTATGAATCTATGAAAAAAACAGTTTGATGCCTTTATATTTAAATACTAGAAATCATGTCAGCTTGGCTGGTAGCATTCTTGGTTATTCACTTCATGAATATTTATGAGGCACTGCTGTGCGCACATGCTGCCACGTTTGTCCACAAAATACACAGTCACTACACTTTATAGTAATTCCTTGTTAACGCAGAAAGCTGTCTCTTCAGGGCTTAACCCAGAATGTCAGCCTAACTCAAACTGTTACAAAGAAAGAATTTGCCTCTTTATTGCTATTTTATCAGACTGAAACATCTCAAAGTGCTTCATAGGTGATTATGGCCAATTGGTTATCTGACGGCATCTGTGGCCACAAGGTTCTACAAACAGCAAAAAGTGAACGCCTGGATTGTTGGCCAGGACGTTGGAAGAAACTCCCTCTTCTTTTTGAACAGTGCTGTGGAATCCTTATCATCCACTTGAATAGGTGAAGCATCTCAACCAAAGGACGGCCCCTCCAAAGTCACTGACCATGATCCGTTTTGCAGTCGTGAGTGGAGTAAAAGTATTTCCAGGTGATGGGGGAAATATGTGAAAGCATCAAGGCAGGAGCCATCACTACAGAATGTGGAGGACACATGTTATAAATACTCTCAGTCCTAGATCGCAGTATGACTAGAATCTAGAAAATGCTAGAGAGAAATGACTAATGGGGTCTAATCGGGTACTGGTATGTCATCTTTCAGTAATTTTACTATTTTTTTCTTGGTAACACATCACAGAAAGGTCAATGAAAATAATGGCCAAGGAAATGGTGCAGAGAAGCTGACATCAATGTACCTAACACCACAATTTATCTGCCGTGTGTGTGTGGGGGTGGGTAGGTGGGTGGGTGGGAGCTTGGAATGGCATCATTCCCCTGTCGAGTTGGTCACTGCGAAGCAGAACCAAGCCAAGAGATACAGATGAAGGAGCTCTAGGGCCTTTGATGAAATGAGTAAAGTCGCAAGATGCGAATAAACGAAAAGTGTTTTGACGCAAAACAAGTGGAGTCGGTGACACAGTCTTGATGTGAAACTCTTGATAGTGTGAGGAGATAATGAGATGCTGAGACCGAAAATGCTGAAGATCTGAATTGAAAAGAGAAAATGCATAGAATGTCAATCGGTGTCTGAGTGAAAAAATAAGACAGATTTCTCTTGCTGTCAGCTGAGCTCAGTGGGTAGCATCCTTGCCTTCAGGGTACAAAGTTGTGGGTTCAGATCTAGGTTGATGTTCCAGTGGGATAACACTGCATTCTTCTGAGATTCTCATTGAGGTTCCACCTGCCTGTTTGCCTCCCTATCCCCCGGCAGATCAATTTAGATATCTCCGTCCTCGCCTTCATTGGCCTCCACGGTCTTGCACCATCCGTTGCATTCTCCCGCAACCCTACTCTTTCTCCACCCTCCCCTCCTCCCCCCCCAGACACTCCACAAACTCTCCTACCTGTTTCTTCCACCACTGCCTTCAGACACTTTGCCCCTCTGTCTGGAACTCTCTTGAAATCCCTCCGCCTCGCTCTTTCCCTCTCTGCCTTCAAATCCCACCTGAATACCTACCTCTTTGAGCGTGCTTTTGGCTCTCTCTCTCCCTTAATTCCCACGCCCACCCATACCCCCGCTCCCCTCCACCTCAGCCTCCCACTCAGTCTTTGGAAAGTGCTTTCAGACATTCTGTAAAACAAAAATTGCCCAAAATATTGGCAATTACTCTGAAAGCCAGATTCAGAAGCTGACAACTAAAACCCGCACAATCCCACTCCTATTTTGACCATAACAGATAAAAAATACAAGACATTTAACATGGGTGATTGCATTATGTGCAATAAATAGATTTAGAGATTGTAGCTCATGTTCCACTCAGGTCTAACTTTACTCTAATTACGTACCATTTCAGGACATCCCAAATTTGGCAAATTGCTGAATTCAGTCTTAACTTTGAAGCCCTTTTTTATAAGTTTTGTTTTGAGAATGCTCTAACGTTTAGATGCCCTAAAAAGCTGCATAAATATAGACCCAGGTGGAAAATCTCCCCGGTACAATCATGAAGAGCGAAAGAGGATGAAAGGGGCAATATAAAATAAACTTTATTAAGTTTACTCACATTTGTAGCGAATTGAAGTAATTGTGAAACTAGTTGGTAATTTCCAGCGCCTGTACGGCTCAGTATGGCTCAGTTTGTCTGCGGTTTAATAATTAGGGACTCTGAGAGATAAATGATGGACTGATTTTGATTGTGAGTTGTGTTGGTAGAGAGAAGAGAGTTCTGAAGCCTTGACATGCCAGTGGTTATGAAGGCTGCACTCGATGAGCATTCTGAACAATTAATGTGTCCTTTACTATAAACCAGAAACGGATTGTTTCTTGACTCTATAGTGAGGGAGGGCAAGGATTGCTTCAGCCTGGCTCATTTGGTAGCACTCTGGCCTCTGAGTCAGAAGGTTGTGGGTTCAAGCCCCGCGTCAGGACTTTGACCTCATCGTCCAAGCCCAAATTCCAATGGCACCGCTGCATTGTCGGAGGTGCTGTGCTTCAGACGAGACGACAATCTGAGCTACTGTCTGCCTGTTCAGATGGACGTTAAAGATCCCATAGTGCTATTCAACAAGAGGAGGGAATGTCTCCCAGTGTCCTGCCCAACAATCCCCCAGATAGAAAATTGGACATTCTATACTGTCTGTTAGTTCGACATTGTTGTACGCCAATTGACTGCCGCGTTTGCCGACAACTACACAGCTACTACACTTCACAGGAAAATCCTGTGAACCGCTTTGAGACGTTCTGATGACATCTAAAAGCAGCTACGTCAAACGCAAGGATTTTTTTTGGTTTAATTGTATACGTCGATCTCAAAACAATCCAAAAGCAGGCACAAACCCTTGCCAAAGAATCTCCCAAATAAAGCCTTGGCTCTTGGTACATGGGCCCGACGAGTTACTGAAGATGGCTTGCCCAGTTCAACAACTGATATCACTTCCTATCATACAGATCCTTACAGTGTGTGTGCACAGAGACCCGCTTGTTCCAGTACACCAATCCAATGCCATGAAGAACGACACAGGATATTATGAATCGCGCTGTTCTTCGCACTCATTACGCGCTGCACCTACTGTAAGAAATACTCTAATTCAAGTCTTTGTGCGCTTTCGCTCTCAGTAACATTATAGGCACATATCAGCTTAACAGTGTGATACCAACTGGGTCAGTGTGGATGTAGCGGGAGCCAGTTCAGATCAAATTGGTATGAGCAGAGAGAGTCACCTTGCAGTGTAAATGGGGCTTTTGATAAATCCAACCACCATGCTTACGCGAACAAAATTGAAACTGTCTCCTTAAGCTCTGAACTTGTAATGTGCTTCACTAACAGAACTTAGACGCTCTTATTTACATCGAGTCAATGCATTCCCACAGGGCCCGGCGGGCCGCCTGCAAAAGGAACACAGCGTTCTGGAAAAGCAAAGTCTTTAGTAAAATGATGCTGTATCAATTTACACGTTCGAAATCAGACTGTGTGCATCAACATTATACACAAATATATTAAAAGTTTATAATACTCTCCCAATAGCTATGCAGTGCGGGTGATCAGGTAATTCAGCTGATGATATGGTAAAAGTTTGACCCAAAATCTGGTTGACCTAAAGCCAGAGAAATGTACACCAGCATTCAGAGGAGCTTTCTTCCTCGGAGTTTGCTCTTCCAAGTAGCCAACCGTCCTAATCCCAGTCCCTTGCTTTTTCCCTACAGCCTCCAATACCTCTCCTCCGCACTCGTTTGTCCAATTCTCTTCAATCCCCCCTCCTACACCCCCACACACACACCTCCTTCTTCCCTCCCCAACAACAATGACAAGAAATTACATTTATATAGTGACTTTCACATCTGGAGGACGTCCCGAAGAGCTGGGGAGTCCTCCTGACATGAAGGAGTCACCGTGTCAGGGGTCAATTTCACAAACGTGTGCAAGAGGTCAGTTTCTAATAGTTCTCGAGAGTTTAAAGATACTCAACGGTGCTGGGATTAACATTGCTTTGCATCACTGGCCTGCGAAAACTGAACATTAGCATCCAAAACATGTTGAAGCCCTTTCCTCCAGATGATTCAGACACAGCCTGTTCCCCACGTGAACCACTGGGTCTAGTTTGGTAACAGGACGTGGCACATATACAGTTCCCCTTCATCCTTGTGCAAAGCAATCCCTTCCCCCCACCTCCGAAAATCATGCTCAGAGAAGCAGCACAGACAGAAATGATCGATATCAATATTTGGTACAATTACAGTATCGGGGAAAAGAGATTTCATTTGAAACGGACTTTGCGAAACCTTCCACCTCTATTGTGGCACGACACTGTAAGAAGAGTGAGTGTTAAACCTTGAGAAATGAAGAGTAAGTGGGGTCACCTACCTCTTTCACGCACAAAGTACGCCAAGTATAAGTCCAGTTCCTTAACCGAAACACTTATGTGATGGGGCTGCACGCATAGCACTTGGTTAGCGCACTGCTGGGACTTGACCAGCCGTTCTCCGTCAGTACTTTCCAAAGGGATCCCTTTAAACAGGATCACCATCACCAGATCCAACCGCCAAACCTTATCCGCCTGCCGTAAACAATCGATGCGTCTCATTTTGCCTTTCTGGTCAGGGTTAGAGAGGACGCAGCAGGAGGGCTTCTTTCCTGTGATGGTCAGCACAAAATCCTCACGAAACTCCGGCCTGATGTCCTTGCGCAACTTGGCGAGCAACCGCGAGGCCCACTTCTGTTTCACCTCGGCCTTCTCGCTCAGCAGCTCCTCCTTCACTGCTCTCTCTTCGTCTTTTGTCATCCGTTTCTCGTGCTTCTTGAAGTACTTTCGTTTCCGGGCCTGGAGGTTGAACCACGTGTAGGCGAAGGCGCGGACGTACGGAAGAAGTGCCTCGATGAATGGATGGAATTCATCCTGACGATAAAACACAGCGTCAAAATCCAGAGGTTAATAACTTGGGTCATTCCTCCCTTATTTACACAGAACACCACCACCGACAAATTTCATTTGTAATTTCACGGACATCTCAAAACCCTTCCCAGGATGTACTGTAAAGTGTAACGACTATATACTTTGCAGGTGAACACAGCCGCCAATTTGGGGCACAACGGCCCACAAACAACCAGAGAGTGAATGTCCGATTTTATTTAGGGGATTGCTGGCCAGGACACTGGGAGAAACTCCCTTCGCTTTTGGAACAGTGACATGGGATCTTTAATGTCCACGTGAATATGCAGAGGGGATCTTGGTGTAAAATCTCCTCCAACACATCCCTTGCACTGCACTGCAGTTTCATCTTAAGACTATGTGAGTTCAAAGACCCAACATGAGGCCTGAACCCACATCCTTCTGACTCAGAAGGCGAAAGTGCTACCAACTAAGCCAGAATGACACATAATCATTATCCGAAGTTCCAAAACATATGGACTTTTTGGCCGTTTCACACAACTTCGCTCAATATGTTGCTTTGAATCGGAGGCAGAGTTGTTCTTCAGACAAGTAAAGGTGATAGCTTGATTACATTTTTATTTGACCAGTCAGACCCTTGACACATGCACAAACCAATTTTATGAGCATGCAAACCAAAGTACCTAGTGTTCCTCATATGCATTGAAATTTCTGTTTGCCTGAAAGCGAATGCACACCCTTTCCCAGGGAGGACGCACCTTGTTCACCTAATCCCAGAAAATATGGGCACAGGTTGGTAAAACGCATTGCACCCCCATGATTCAATCCCCATATTGGGATTATGAGCTCACATGACTTTCCAACGTGGGGTGGGAGTGGGTGGGGGGGAAGAGAGCACTACATTGCCAGAGGTGCTGTCCTTCGGATGAAATGTTAAACCAAGGTCGAGTGGATTCTAGAGCTAAGATATTGCTGCAGATCAATAATAATAATAATAAAAATAATCCTCGCATTTGATACAGCGCCTTATCACGTCTTCTAGGCATCTCAAAACCCTTCACAGAATACACTGTAAATGAACTGACTATGTTTTGTGGACGAAACGCTAAAATCAGTTACAAACACAATTTGCCATTGTGAACGCTGTCTGGTAGAGCTTTGGCTTGCAGGGTTAACAGGAGCAGAGTGGCATAAATCCCAGCCCTCAGTGACTGGAATGTTTTCTCAAGTTCCAGGCTGGCTGGTTTGTCGTCAACAGTGCCTCAGAGAGCCTGTGGACTGGCCTGTCTCAGGAACCGGTCGATTGAGAGCACTCGAGAGGATGGACTCGTTTCAAATACTCCATTGCCAAGCAGGTCACCTCGAAGCCAACTCAGCCCAAAGGAGCCTCTCACACCTCAGCCTCAAACAAGGAGCAGTCACCAGCTGGTCATGAATCTACATTCCATCAATAGCATCGAGATGAACGAACGAATGTATCTGGAGTTTCTTTGTAAATATGGATTTAACATTGGCCCAAAAACTGGGAGAACTCTTTGCTCCTCTGAAATAGAGGCATAAGATCGTTTAATATCCATCCATGGAGCATGAGATAACACTGCAGTGCAACCGGCCTAGATTACCAGGGCAACTCCTGGGGTGAGGTTTGAACCCACAGCCTTCTGACGCAGAGCCAAGAGTGATATGATCTCAGCAAAATGATGCAAATATGACAAATGCACCACTCTGGTCTCTGAGTCAGAAGGTTGTGTGGTTCAATCCACGTGTTGGAATTGTGAGCTCACATGACTTTTCAATGTAGGTTAGGGAGAGCGTCCTATTGCCAGATGTGCGATCCTGTGGATGAAACGTTCAACTGAGGTCCTGTCTGCCCGCTTGGGTGGGCATTAATGGCCTATGGCTCTATTTAAAAAGAGTAGGGAGTTTCTCTCAGTATCCTGGCCAGATAAGCAAATTGATCATTCAGTTGCCAGCTGTTTGTGGGCATTGCTGTAAACAAATTGGCTGATATGGCGCTTTTCACGTCTTCGAGACCTTTCAAAGTGCTTCACAGGAATATACTCTAAAGTGGATTGACTGTGTATTTTATGGGCGAAACACAGCAGCCAATTGCGCACAGCAGTGTCCCCACAAACTGTCGTGGATTGAGTGACCAAATTATTATTGTTGTTAATTTATCACTGCAGAGCATTGATCGCTAAGAATTCACAGCAGTTGTAGCCTTTGCTCATAGGCCGCAGGTTGCAACTTCTGATCAACAATAGGAACAACTTGCATTTACAGTATATAGCACCCTTCTCTACGTGGGTAGAGTCTCAAGAGCGCTTGATCAACTGTAATTACTCAGCAAAAACAATTGAAACCGTTCTTGATAGCGGACGACTCATTCTTATCTGATCTAATTAATGACTGCTCCCCAACGAAGCAACTTTCCTTTCCTGTTCAGATCAGTTCATTTGGGGACACAGCTCACACACTCCAGATTTAAAGAAACAGTCCACGGACTTACGCTGCGCTGGTTTCCTTATGCAGTAGCTTGGTTTTCGGCAGGCAGATGTGGGACTCATTTTGTACCAGCGAGTATTGATCAAAAAATGTTATATATCTAATAACAACAATAAATTGCATTTGTTTACTGCCTTTCACGTCAGGAGGACGTCCCAAGGCGCTGGACAATCAGGGATCTGCACCCGAGCTGGTGGTTAGGATCAGGAGGGGTAGAGGGCGGGGAGCGGAGGCGTGCAGAGTGGGGAGGGTAGGGGTAGGAAGAGGCACGCAGGTCCTGAGCAAGAGTGTTCACAAGATCGTGACATTGGTTCAGATGAAGTAAGCCTCTCAAGCCAATTTGATCTCACCCCTCCAGAATATCCACCCTTTTGGGCTCCCACCACAGCATCAAGCTGTTTTTTTTCAATTTAGTCCAGTGTCCCGGCTTTAATGACCCTTCCCGGTAACCAGGTCTTGTCCTTAACATTACCCTCCTTCCGGTGTCTGTTCTTAAATTGTCTTTTGAAACTCTAAACCTGCGATCTCTTGTTCTGCTGTCTCAGTGCATCTGAAAGTCCTATTCTAAGTTTAGTTTTTCAACCCCATTTAGAATCCATTACACCTCTATAAGGTTACCTCTGAGAAGCCTCTTTCCAAGACTGAAGAGCCCTCGCTTGTCTAATCAACAACAGCGTGCATTTACATAGCGCCCCTTACGCAGGGTAGAGTGCTTGAGAGCTCAGAGCGCTTAATCATTGATCATCTAAAACCGTAGACCATCCTTGCTGATCTTCTAAGCGCTGCCTCTAGGTACTTGGCAGCGCCCTTGTGTCACGGTGACCAGACTTGTATGAGAACTCTAGCTGTGGCCTGACACGTTAAAGAACTTATTTTTTTCTCTACCCACAGGTGCTTGCACTGTAGCATTCTCTCCGACGTTCTCTGCCACAAACCGTGGTTGAAGCACAATCCATCAATTGGTTTCAAAGGTACATGTCGGATGTTTGAAAAAGTGGAATATTAAAGGGTATGGGGGGAGCAAGCAGAAACTGGGATTAGATTGGGTGGCTCATGTGGCGTTAAACACAGAGATCTGGTGGACTGAAGGACCTGTTTCTATCCTGTAACATTCTATGATTCAGTTAAACTATCAAAGATCGATTAACGATCCCCTGGTGCTGCACAAAAAGAGAAGGCAGTTTCTCGCAGTGTCCTGGCTAACCATCCCCCAAATAAAATTGGTCATTCACTTCATAGCTTTTTGTGCGTACAAATTGGCTGGCGTGTTCACCTACAGAATGCACAGTCAGTGCATACTTCGCAGCAAAATCCCGAAGCGCTTTGAGCCGTCTTGATGAGGTGATCAGGCGCTACATCAAATGCAAGGATAATTGTTATTGTATTATAAACTGCCAAGGGGACAAGTTAAAAGAAAACTGTTGAAACGAGAGCTGTTATTGACTCGTCACTCACCATGTCCAAACAAAGCGAGGCAGCAATGTACAAAGCAAACAGATTGCTGGGCTAAGTTGCCAAATATGTTGAGTTCAAATCCCCAGAAATCATGTTCAAGTTGTACATTGCTCTCATCGAGCCACACCTGGTGCATTGGGTATAGTTCTGGTCACTGCGACACAGGAATTCGTCCGTCAGACAATGCAGAGGAGAGCAACAAGTCTTAATCCACGTGGATAATAATAATTAATAATCCATACATTTGATATAAAGCCTTCCGCGTCAGGAGGGCGTCTCAAAGAGCTTCACAGGATACACTGTAAAGTGCAGTGACGGCTGTGTGTATTGTGGACGAAACGCGGCAGCCAAATTGCACACAGCAGCGTCTCACGGACAGCCATGAAATGAATGATTAATCTTATTTCGGGAATTGTTGGCCAGGACACCGGGAGAGAGAAACTCCCTCCTCTTTTCAAATAGTGCCAAAGGATCTTTAACTTCCACCCAAACAGGGAGACGGACCTCAGTTTGACATCTCAACTAAAGGACGACATCCCTCCCAGGCACACCAGGATCCTCCCAGGCTAGACTATGAACAAAGCCCTGATGTGGGGCAGCTTGCTGAGATATTATTCTGCAGTCAGTAAAGAGAACTATTTCCTGTCTAACAACTAGTGACGAAAGCCATGCACTTAATGTCAGCAATGTTCCATAAGGCAGAGCAACCTCACCAATTTAAATCAATTGTACGTACAGTGCAGTCAGACTTAATAATTAAACTCATATGGATCACTTTTGATTAATCTACACAAGCATACATTTATATTTGAGCTTGTGTTTTTCCAGATAATCGGTTGGGATGAAGAGGGCCCTTTGACCCATTTGATCTCATACCCATTCTTCCATCCGCCCATCCTCATCCTCACCTACAAGGCCATTCACGGCCTTGCTCCCTACTACCTCTCCGACCTACTATCCCCTTACTTACCTGCCCGTACCCCAGGTTCCTCTGGCTCCAGTCTGCTCCACATCCCCCGCCCCAACCGCCCTACCATCGGTGGCCG